TAGAAAATGGATTCAAATATCTTCAGATTTTATCAGTTGTTTTATTTTTGGAAGAATGGTAATTAAATGTTATAAAATTTTTTATTTTTAGCTGTACTTGTCATAGATTGGATCAACCTATACAAATGTGTCTTGTCTGTCATCTGTCCATTAACACAAGGTTGCTATCACTACTGCCCCAAGACTGCTTGGTATTGTTACACCCACTGTATAGATGGCCATATCAACATGCAGCATGAGATTCTGTTCCCAAATGAAATTTTTTATCAGATTTCGAATATTGCCATTTGTAAAATCTTTTTTGTAGCAAACCATTGTGTATAGAAGCTTTAAATATAAACATAGGACTTTCATTTAACATAATTAAAAATAGTTGCAATCAGACTTCAGTATGGCAGAGCATTTTGAAAATCTGGTTATTGCTACTTTCAAATTTCAGTTGGATACCCATAGCATGAGGGAATTTTCACTGGAAAACTTTTCATCATGTCTAGTTAATCCTCAATGAAAATGGGTTTTGTTGTCATGTTAGTTATCCTAAAAATCTTGTTATCTCTACCTTTCCTGAACAGTTGGTCTTGCAGAATTTATTTAAAAGACTTATTGTCTTATCTGATTGGTCATAAATAAAAATACTTACAATTAAAAATCCAATGTGTCTATGTCTTCTGCAGCTTCTCAGAAAGGATAGTTGTAATGATGTGGGTTTTTCTCTTACAACTTTTTGTAGTTGGTCTTCAATAAATGTTGCAGAGCAGACCTTATATATGACTGTTATTGGTAGCTATCTTGAAAATCTTATAGCTGCTCTTCCAGATATCTTACAGACTTGGGTCTTTCACTGGAAGATTTCATAGATTTCCTAATTTGACCAAATCTGCCTTTGATATGTAGTTTATATTGGTTCTATTTGCACTCCTTTTGTGTTCATTTGCTTTCCATTCACAATTGTTTTTTTTTTTCTTTTATGGTCTCATAAATGAATTCAGATTTTGTATTATCTTTTTGATTTATAATTTCCTTCTTTTTTGGTGCATTTGAAGTAAAAGAAAATGCATCAGCCGAAGCTGGGTTGTCAGTTTCATGTGTGTTAAAGGGAGAGAATTGTAGCTTTGAGCTCTTATAAAAAGTATGCATTACTGATATAGCAAATGCATAAAATGCAAAAGACTGTTGAATTTACAATAAATTAAAATATAACTATTTGCATTAAGTGTTAAATTGTCAAGTATTTGTCAGCAAAATTTATTTATTGTTTCATTTTGTTCAGATAAAGATGAAACAGGTATAGCCACTTTTTTTCTGTATACTGTAACAAGAATAAACATGTGGCTTATAACAGTTGAAAATATTTTTTTAAAAGAATTTGATTTTATCATGTGAAATTTAGCAGCAACTTTAAATTTGCAGGTCCATTGATGAAATTATATTGTGTTCAATTTTAATTGTATCATTTTCATCATCGCTCTACATTTTGCATTTGCACTCTTCATTTGTCACAAAATACATTTATAATTTTTTTTGCATTCATTCTGCATACTGTTTTTTATTTCACTGGTAAAATTTAAAATGACATTTTTGGGGTACAGCATGGTAACTGGTTGGTTCTCAGTGAAAACTGCCGATTGTACAAGATGCACATAGTTGCTGTCTTTAAAATCTTGTCTTTACTACTGCTCCTGAAGGTCATATTGATAAGAGGTTATCATTAAAGTCATCACATTGTATGTTGTTGGACCAAAATAAAAATCACATCACTGTGACCTACCAAAATGTGAAAAATCTCATTACTGCTAAATGGATGGCCATTTTCATAGAGCAGACATTTCTTCTTTTGAAGCATATAGTTGTTCCTACATTAAAATGATGGTGATCCTATGTAGATAATTCTCTTGATTAGATGGTGGTATTAACAAACTTTAGTACTTTGTAAATCAGAAATACACTGTAATGCACTATAGAAATATGTAACTGCCTTTGAATAAAAATAGTGCTCATCTGATTCCAACATGGCACCGTAGTACAAATATCATTTTCACTGATCTGTCATGGTGGTATTTAAATGGTGTTTGAATGAAATATGTGTTGTTATATCCACACTTGTTTAAATGAGTTTGAAACCAAATCTAATTGACTTGGGCATCAAGTCAAGGTCAATTCTTGCATTTTTTAAACCTTAATTGAGTTTAACCTTAACTTCAGTATAACATTTTGACAAAACTTTGCATTAAATTGCATTCCAGTAAACAAGTTGATACCGAGCACTCAGAGGTTGATTTTAAAGTCAGGAGTCTTGACTATTTGTTAGCTGTATTAGGCTTGTGAGCATGATAACACAAACAAGTACAAAAGTTTGTTTTCAAACCCAGTTTAAAGGTGAATCTAAAAATCTAAAGAGTACATAAAATGTTACTAGCTTCTAACTTGTTTTTCGTTTTCTCCAAAAAATAAATTGACGATCAAACTTAGCATGTGGGGATATTTTGATATGTATGAAAATTAAGTTCAGTACTTGATATTGGATTCAAGATTAAAGGCCATGACAAGCAATTTTGTTATGGGTATCTTGTGATTCACACATGTAAGAAAACATTTTTGTCACTAAATTTGGTATGTTGGAGTTCTTAAGAAATATAAAAAATGATTTCAATACTAGGCAGTAAAAAAAATAAAATAGGAAGTGTACTTAACACGAAGATTATGAGAAATTATATTTGACTGGTTGAATGCCAATTCATGCAGGGGACTCGTGTCCTGATAATACATTGACTTACTAAACAATTAGTGTGAATCCTGTGTGTAAAAAATGGTCGAGGAACATGACAAAAATGTCCATTATAGTTTGCTGTTTATAGACTGGGTGTGTTTTTCTGACTTATAGTTATGACTAGGCATTGCATAAAATATGAAAAAATGTAAGTTTTCAGTAATAACAGGTTCTTTCTGAAAAAATTACTGCACCATGACATTCAGTAGGAATGAAAATTTAGCTCTGAAAATGTCAGAATCAAATGGCAGTGAAACTGAACAATGAAATGTAAAAGTTAAACAAGCATTTATTGAAAATGTTCATGCACAAACTTGCACTACAACTTTTAATCCTGGTCACCAACAAATAATTTTAAGAAAATAAAATTTATAAAAATAGTCACATCTATTAGTCAGAAGACTATAAATTGTTTGAATCCAACTCTTGCTGGTGGTGTCTAAAGTGATGGAGGGTAAAATCTATATGAAAATTGCCACCATTTATATTATTGTTTTTATATGGAACCTAAAAGTCGTTCTGAGTGAATTTGAATAAACAAAACAAAAACAAAAACATGGGTCTTCTGATGTTACATAACCTGAAGTGGACATAAACATGATCATTTATATTATTGACCATAAATTTCTTAACTGAAGTCAGTGTTTTATATCATACTTTGATATGCAACAATTTCAACTGAGAATGCTATTTCTCCAAAATATACTGAATTTGATGCAGATCTTGTCTCGCATACTCTCTAGATTAATTTGTAATTTACAACACAGCTGCCATTATTTATAAGAGTTGGATGCCCATGAATGAAATGGCACTTTTATAAAAGTGATTTTAATGTGATTCCCATTAGTGTCCATTATGAATATGTATATGTTGCTCAGAGGTTTTGCTAAGGCAGGTTAAAATGTATCCAGGATCATTTTTGAAGTTTTAATACTTTTATTTTTGTATTGTTTGATAGCATTGATATTGTACATTTAGAATGAGTATAACATAGGGTGGAATGTTCAATCCATGGAACTGTTGTTTAGAGAATAGATCAGATACTCCAAAGTCTGTGGAGTGGTCAGACTGTGTTACCTTGGTCTGTAGGTGATGTCTAACAATATATGTAGCATCATGGCCCTGCTCAGTCACATTATCCTGACACCAGTCTAACCAGTCATTACACTAACCTCTTAATGCTGAGCACCTAGTGAGACAGCTGTTAGTACCATTTTTATAAGTCTTTGGTATGACGTGGCTGTTGTTTGAACCCACAACCACCTGCAACCAGGGCAGATGCTCTGACCACTGGGTCAGTCAGTTAACTTTAGAAATAATTAAAATCATATTTTATAGCAAAGATTGATGGCAAAGTAAACCCTTCATTTTTTGGTAAGTAAAATAATGCAAGACATTTTTTTTTTCATTTCTATTCACTGACTTTAGGATCACTGGATAAAATTTTTCCAATATTTATTAAGATTGATATTTAATGAAGTTAAGTTTGATGTTCAATATTAAAGCTGAATTTTAAATACTCATCTCCATTTTATATTGAAGCGAGAGAGAGAGAGAGAGAGAGAGAGAGAGAGAGAGAGAGAGAGAGAGAGAGAGAGAGAGAGAGAGAGAGAGAGAGAGAGAGAGAGAGATATAATTGATTGTGCCAAGGCAGGGGCAGTTACAGTTCTTTTTTAGTCTCCAAAACAGATGTGTCAGAGTATATAATGTTACCCATGTCTGTGATGACTTCAAATCAACCAAAGGAGTTCAGATGTAATTCAAAATATAAACTTTGTGTGAAGAGGTTATTAAATGGTGAGTAAAATACTTCATTATACATGTGGAACACGTTTTGAATGCATAGTATATGCTAAACATACTTCTGGGTTAAGATAATCAGCATTGGGGGGGGAGATTATATATATATATATATATATATATATATATATATATATATATATATATATATATATATATATATATATATGCACACACACACACATACACAATTTTTTTATTAATGCCTGCAAGTGTTTTAGATTTTTAATGTAGCTTTTTAATGTAGTCATATCACTGATGTCTGTAGTGTGGCAGTTTATAGTGATGTCTGGCACTGGGGCATCATATGGCAGACATGTCGCATATAGTCCCATCCATTCACATTATCCTGACACCAGGCCAACCAGTCCTAACATTAACTCCTTAATGCTAAGCGTCAAGTGAAGCAAGTACCATTTATATGTCTTTGGTATGAATTGGCCAGGGTTTGAACCTGCTGCTTCCTGCATCTAAAGCGGAGACTCTGACCTCTAAGCCACATGAGCGTCTCCTATTAAAGTGTAAAATAAACACCACAACACCAGAAAATAAAAAAAGCATAGCAGACTAGGTATAGTTTACACTATTTCTTTGATGGGAAATCAAAAGAGGTGTTGCCAACCATGTTTATTTCATTTTCCCAATTGTTTAAATACTATAACCCTAAAACAAAAAAAAAAGAGATGTATAAAGTGCTCTGTAATTGACAGCAGGTGTACTTTGCACATACCATCAGTCCCTAACTCCATGTAAGAGGATAAGTAATTAATATGCTGGGCTCGAAACAGAAATGGTGAGGGTTTAAATCCTACCATCTGCTACCGTGGTGTGTTCTTGGGCAAGGCACTTTACTACTCCTTGGTACTAAATAGCCATCTCATCTTGCTGTGCCAAATACACCAGATCAACAGCCTAACACTATTTTGTAACTAAATTGTTGTATCATATTTTAGAGGTAGATCAACTTGTCAGTTAATAAGTTTTAAAAACTGTGGAATAAAATGTCAGGTGGAATTCTGTGGTATTGTTGTTTTTGGAAGAAAAAGTAATTTTTGTTATTCATTTCAGAGGAAACCTTACAGTTGGTTACCTCCCTCTGGAAGGACAATAGCACAGCCACAATGCTGTAAATTTGGTGGTAAAATGTACATGTTATAGTCGCCAGTCAATATTGATGTTATGCTTTACATGTATTGTTACGACCCTGGAGTTAAAGTGCATTAAGGAATCAATTTTGTATAAATCTTTTTATTTCATTTTATTTCATTATATCGTCTAACATGTTTTTGATAAGTGTTTACTTGAGTCGTAGATGTGATTCATGTTGGCACGTGCTGTGTATGATGACAAAAATTCATTACAAATAAACATACAGGAATAGCCACGAAAACGTTGGTCGATACTGGGTCAGGCTTTCCTGAATGTTCAGAAGTATTGGGAAATTGCATGCTCTCTTGTGCGCGTGCAGTTCAGGCTACGCATTAGCCTTCCCTTATATACTTCGAGATTTTATGATTCATACACAGTCATGTACAGACTGTCTTGGTTGAGAGTCAACAGTGACGGACAGCCTGTCGTAGTCGAGTCTGTTATACAACTTCTAATTTGTTGTGCTAGAAGAAGTTGTCATTATGCCTATGTAAAATAACATGCCGTGTTAGAGGAACTATTTTTCACTTTGTCTTTATAATTTTTCTAGAGAACAACATTATGTATTTGGACATTTTCTTGCTAATATTGGAACGGGACAACACATACATTGTTTATTGTGAAAATTCTGGAATTTGCTGTTAGTCTTCGTCTGACCTGGTTAACCGCCATTTCAACCGGAACATCATACTTTCAGACTGTTTAGAACTCTTTACGGGACTTACATTTTTATTATTTTTGAACAAAATTTGGATAATTCCTGTAAACTGTAAGTCTTGTTTTAAATAATTTACATTATTTGTATTCTAGTGAAATAAATTGTATCATTGTTAAAATTTATAAAGCTTGTTGTGTGTTTTTTTTTCTTTTTATGTTACGTAGAACGAGCCGTCACGTAATAGTATTAGTAAAGGAATGCTCAAATGCCTGTCTAGTAAAATTTTTGTAAAGGTAAATATATGTATTGTGCGATCCATGTATGCAGCATTGTTTGTAGCTTTTTGTTATGCTTAGTACTCTTAATTATCTGATCTGCTTGAGTACTGGTCCAATTTGGCCAGATTAGTAGTTCATTCATTATGATGCCTGTGATCAATTATTGTTCTACACCATTTCAAAAGTTCAGACTTTAGGCAGATTGAAAAAGTCCCTCCTTTAACAAGATATATTTGTAAGAATTCTGTTATGGCTAAATCTATGTACAGCACATATGGTTGCTGACAAAAAAAATATAAATTGTAATATAAATATTTGTTGCAATTATATAATAAAATTTTTTATATATATTCATAATATGCTCTTTTATTCACTTTGCCAAACCAAAATATTTGACCGAACATAAGTGTGGGTATGGGTGATTGGTTTTTTTTATCCTCTGACAAATTGATGTCCCTTAATGGAAGTTCAAACCAATAATGCACAATACAAGGTATATCACACATAAGAGAAGGTTGTGCCATTTTTAAAACATTAGGTAAAGGGTGAAAATAATCTATCAGTTACTGACAAAAAATGCGAATGAATCTGATGTTAGTAGGTGCCACGTCTTGTATTGATTGCTTATCAGTAAAATTTACTAAAAGTGAAAGTGTGTCTCACAGAATAAACTTGAAATAAAGAGTTAATCAAGGAATTTAAATCTTCTCATAAAAATATTTAGTCTGATTTTAGTAATCAACATGGTCCCCACACTTTTCTAAAGATAAATTTCTAGGTCATTTCCAGGATGAAATTAATTTTTTCAATGTTAATAAGACTTGACCATTTCTGAATGGCATTAAAGAACATTTTAGAGTATAAAACACATTTTCTAAATCTAAAGATGTTTCTATTTCAAGGCGCTCCAAAATATCTAAGTCTGAAAAGACTATCATGTTTAAAACCATAAAATGTATCACATGAAACTCCTATAAATTAGCATGCAAAGTCATTTCCAATGCATGGAATAAACATTGTAACTTTACTTGCTGACCTGCATTATGTTGCTATGTGGAAAGAACATAATGAACATAAATTAGTTTTGTTTCCTTTCAAACCTTTAATTCTAAAGAATTCTAAAGCTATATATATATATATATATATATATATATATATATATATAGATAGATATAGATAGATATATATATATATATATATATATATATATATATATATATATATATATATATATATATATGTTATACAAAGTAAACTTTTCATATCAAATGTAGTATGAAAATAACAATAAATGCAAAGTATTAGAATCTTATCTTGTAACAAAGAGTTTAACCATGAATTAATCTGTAGCAATAAAACCCAAACAAGATTTTTCAAACAACATAAACTCCTTAAGAGGATCTGGTTAAAAATCCATCATTTAAAAAACTTTACACAACGGGTTGATTTATATTATGACAAAAAACTTTTAAATTATATATTGTTGTACAAACAAGGACTGCATTTTCTGTAAAATCCTGTCTTGTAATTTAATAAACCAGTCCCCAAACCCGAATAGATGCAGGGCCTGGTATCTTTGTTTACTATATAATAAAAGTGATGATAATTTCCCATTTCTCCTGCATCCCATTTAAGATCGGAAAACAATGCTTCAAGCTACATGTCACTGTGTAATAGTTTCACATCAAAGTTCAGCTCAGTGATTTGACCTTTTTGACAACAAAGTTGGCTTAAAATGAATAGCAGTCCATTTTCTAATATGGGTTTCCTCTAAATATTCTCATCCCATTTATTACATTTAGACATTTAGGTTGGGATGTGGGGTCAGCAATTGCATGTCAAAATTTGGAATTTTTGCAAATTTTTGCCACCACTGTGCGGTAGTCTCTTACATCGGACAGTAAATTTAAGTGATCTTATATCAACTCGTACCTGCAAGAAATTAATAGGAAAAGGATTTATTTTCTCAGACATAGCAAGAATTATAATCATTATTTCTTTAATCCATAGAAAGGACGAAACTTTAGCATAAACTTGACCCGATACTCGCCATTTGCAGAACTAGTCACATGACTTTAAAAAATCTTAAACAATAACATCAGAATTTTAATGGTCATGTGAGATCAACTCCTTTGTAATTCAATTAAATTAAATGAATGTCAGACACCTTTTGAAAAAACCAGAAAGAACATATAATTTGCAAATATTTCAAGAACAATGACAAGAAAACTTGCTGTTGCAGCAATCTGGCCAGTCGAGTCATCAGAGAGCATATGTCAACATTGTACTCATGTGATACAACAAAACCCTGGTAGTTGTTCTCTAAATAAATATAGAGAACTTTGTGTTCTTTCTGGGTTTTTTTTGCATTTGTATTATTAGTATGAAATTCAAATAATATTTTTTATTTTTTTTCTGCAACATTTGAAATGGATTATTTCAAGGTGTCACAATATCAGGCAAAGTGGGGAAAAAAGTCGCCTGACAATGGTAAACGTCGCCTTCTGTTGGAAAAGCGAAAATGATTGCTCTCATATTTTCGGACATAAAATGGCTGTAGATTATTTATGACTTTTGAGATGTCATCTCGCAGTAGCCAGTAAGTTCTGAAACTGTTGTAATCCAAGGTGAAATGCATCAATATGAAATGGTAATTTGCTTTTAAAAAATATGATTGGTGTTGAGTGTTTTCTAATGTATTTCTTTTTTTTATAAATGGAGATTTTAATGGCCGTATTTGCGTATTTTCTTGATAAAATCTGTTTGAAACAGTAAATAAACTTGTAATAGTGGACATCACTACATCATTAAATGGTCTGTATTCGTAAATAATTGGGCAAATAGATTAAGGAAAATATATAACCTAATGAAAACAAAATTTAAATATTTTTTCAAAGGAGATATAGCCTAAATATTTAATAATGTAGGTCAAAAACATGTGACAATCTCTGTTGCGGAATTCGAAACAATGCTGCAAAGTCAAGGTTGTTTTCTGAACTAACGTAATTAATTTTTTGAAATTACAAAAGAGATGTATAGTAGTGAAGTAAATACTATTTAACCGATTTATATCGTTAATGCCAGTAGGTTAAAAAATAATTAAACCATAAACCATGAATTTGCTGTAACAGAGCAAGAAAGCAAATTGTTGTATTAAGTAAAACCCTCTTTCTAAAATTTGCTTGGTGTAATGTGTTCTTGGATGTTTTGTTTTTGAGGGAAAAAGGGTCCAGTGTAGTTATTTTTTTACATTAGTGCTTCTGTGTGTTGTCTATGAATAGTTACAGTACTGTTTTATTGGGAACAAATAAAAAACGGACAAGTAGGTTTTTAAGTCGCTTAAGCATTTATTCCTATGTACATGAATTAGGGGTTGTTTCAAAGAATGCTAGAAATCTTTTTTGACTGTAATTTT